GCAATCGGTTCTCATTCAATAAGCACCCTGAAGAAGAGGTTGGACAACTGTCTGTAGAGATGCTGCCACTGTATCCTGCAAGCAGAGAGTGTATGGAGTAATGAGTTCATTAGGCCAGTCCCTCATAATCTGGCACATCTTGATTCTTTTTCTTTCAGAACTCTGCAGCCACTAATCATGCTATCTAAACCTTGTAAAAGCTGCAATTCTTTCACATCAGCAGTGGGTAAGATCAAAGGAAAGTTGGGACAAATAATTTCCAAATCTCCTTAAATGTTACGATTGTATGAGAGTGGAGAATCCTGGACTACACTGAAACAGCCAATGGATTCACTATGAGTTGCGGTGGCGCAGTGGTTAGAATGCAGTACTGCAGGCTACTTCTGCTGACTGCTGTCTGCATGCAATTTGGCAGTTTGATCCTCACCAGTTCCAGGTTGACTCAGCCTTCCATCCTTCCGAGGTGGGTAAAATGAGGACCCAGATTGTTGGGGACAATAGGCTAACTCTGTAAACCGCTTTGAGAGGGTTGTAAAGTACGGTGAAATGGTATATATGTCTAAGTGCTATTGCTATATAAAGGAACGAAGAATCAGAGGAAACCCAAAGATGCTTTTTCAAAAGTCAACTGGACTTTTTTTTTCCTTGAAGATGTTTTGCTTCTCATCCAAGAAGCTTCTTTAGTTCTGTCTGAAGTCATAACTGAGTCAGTGAGACTGAGTCACAACTGAATAAGTTTCTTGAATGAGAAGCGAAACCTCTTCAAGGAAAAACAAAATCCAGTTGTCTTTTGAAAAAGCACTTTTGGGACAACCATGACTGAGAATCTCCATAGACAATCAAAGGAAGCTCTTTCCATAATTTTCCCTAGTTTAAAAACCCTGATCAAACTCAGCATTACACCAGCAGGGTATTGGGAAGAACAAACTAGATATTCTTGTGGTGGTCCCTTTCCCTTTGGCTGACTCAGTCAAGGGTTGGATGACACCAAAACCTGTTGTTAAAAGAATGGCCTTCCATTGAACTGGGATTATTGGCCCGCTTGACATTCCAGGGTTTATTCACACAATTCCAAGTAAATTTATCCAAGAGTAAATTCCATCAAAGATGAGACTTGCTTTCAAGTCAACTTGCACGACAAAAGACATCACATGCAAAATTCACACACCTGCTACAAAATGGCTTTGCGGAATTTTATACTCAATCTTAGGGGTTTAGGGTCAGATGTCATTCTACTGTAAGGACTGTTCCCTTTTGTTTTCAGCTGTCATTTCTGAATCAATGCATGGGATTTTTGGAGAGATGCAATTTAGCATATTCCTTTTTGAGGACACAAGCAATCCAAGCCTCCTATTGACACAGATGCATGCACAAACTGTGCTTGGATTGTTTGTTAGTAGAGTATTAGCAGAGTGTTTGTTAGCAATGGGATGAACACCCCTCCCTGAACTTCAGGCTTGTGAATATGGTGAGGAGAACCAGGCAAATCTAATTTAAACAACTGAGCAGTCAAAAATTATGCTTAGGCTGAGGGCACAGAGCAGCAAAAGGGTTGACTGAAGCTCCAGGGGAGCATGAAAGGCAGAAGGGGAAGCAAAGCATCCAACTACTAAGTGGGCAGCCACAGAGAGGCTAATGGCATCTGTCTGGAGAATGTAACAGGATCGTAGGCAACTGAGGTGGGAGGAAATGAGGGCTATGCCTGGAAGAAACGATCTAAATCCAGCTATCCTTTCTGGAAGTTCAAGCATTTGCCCGCTGAGTCCCAAGAGCCCATTCCACACAGCCCTAATTACAGCATGCTTACAGCAGATACAAGAAGAGAAAAGAGTTGTCAGAGGAAATACGAAAACAAGGAATTAACACGGAATGGCACAACTTGATGAGCTATGACAGACTATATGAATACCATCTTTCAAGGCAGGGAAGGAAGTTATGCAGGTCTGGTCAACTAGCTACTAACCAGAAAAGCACTTTCCAGTTTGCTCTTGTGCTTTTCATATCAGCGTGACTTGAAAAATCAGCAGGGCTTGCAACATTAGCTAGGAAATTGTGAAAAGCATTATTACAGACGCAGCCACTGCTAAGGAAGTCGAACTATTGTTTTTAGCATTTGAGCATCATGTTTTGTTTTAATGATATATTGCTCTGCAGAAATTTGCCCAGCTGGCTGGCCTTGGCTGACTGTAACAACCTTAGCTGGATTGGACCTGCTTCATACATGGATAGAAGATGCCTAAGGAAGAAGACCAGGGTTGTAGGCTAGACCAGGAAGTTGAAAAGAAAAAATTGTTTAAAAAGGCAATGGTAAACTTCTACTTTATTGTAAAGGTAATCATGGACATGTCCACAAATTTACCTGGAGCTGAACTAAATTGGAGTTTCTCTCTTTTACCTATAGGAATGTATCAGTAACAACTCTGAAATATGTAATTATTTTTTTTAAAAATGCAGCAAACAAGTAGCCAAGTTGACAGCAAGAGGTTCCTGGACCAACAACATCTGGTATACCATTGGGGTGATACACTGGTTAAAGTACCAGATATGGATTCAAGAGTTGCTATCATTCAGACTAACCTACCCCATCAGTGGTTATGCAAATACTATAAATCCATCTAGAGGAAAGGTGGGATAGAAATGTAATAACGTGAAAGACACAGCCTTCTGCTTTGTTGATGCTAACTTCCACTAAAAAAGTCTAATTTAATCTATTATATAGCATTCTTCCCAACAGATAATTGCTACGGAGTACAGGGCTTGGACGTCCAGTATATGTTAAGTTTATGCCTACCTTTACTTTCAAGAGTTCAAGGCAGTATACTTAACCTTCTCTCCAATTTTCCCTGAAATAGCAATAGCACTTAGACTTATATAGTGTTTCATAGGATGGAAGGCTGAGTCAACCTTGAACTGGTCAGGATCGAACTCCTGGCAGTGAGCAGTGAGTTAGCCTGCAATACTGCATTCTAACCACTGTGCCACCCTAATGCTATGAAGAATATTGCCTAAAGCCATACAGAGCTTTTGTGGGTTAAAGGTGCACTTGATGGCTGGGAAATTCTGAAAGTTTTAAATCCACACATCTTTAAATTGTCATGGTTGAAAAATACTAGTATAGAAGCCACCATTCAGTGCCTCTTGTTCAAACTGTCCATTGGATTTGCCACGAATCCCCTTTGTCTACAATGGAGATAAGTCATTCTATAGTTGGTGCTTCCATTCTACTCTGAAAGTGGAGCTTAGAAGACACTGTTTCATATGGGAGGGAATAGCCCCATCCCTTTCTCCAAGTGTCAAACTGAAAAGCCAGAAGGGAACTTAATGGAAGACGACTTGAGAAAACATGGAATGAAGAGCCCACTGTTCTACAGAAAGCAGTGTCACAGTGTCTAAGCCCTCCCACTGGAAGGAGTGGTGGAAAGATATTTACTATGACTCCCTTATCTTGGCACCATTACAGGAAAACAGCAACTACCTTTTCTTATAACAATTGCATATGATCAAGCAGAGTGATTGTGCCTTGGGTCCCATTAATTAAACAGTGTCATCTTACAGGAGCCCAGACTGGGCCTGTCCTCTGGAATTATGTCCCTCAGAGATTCCTGTGGCTCCCACTGTTATAACATTTAGGACACTGTTAGGGACCTGGTAGTTCTCCTAGGCTTTAGGACAGAGTGATAGTGGAGCTCTGTAATGGTATGTGGGAATGGCATGCTTCCTGTCTGGCTACCTCAAAGGCCTCCTTTAGTTTATCATTGGTTTATAGCTGGAGAACTGTTCTTCCAGTTGGCTGCAACCTTTTTTACATGTATTATTTTCTTTTTGTTTGTAAAACATCTATAGTTGTCAAGACAACACGAAGTTGTCAATAAGTCAGCTAGCTACGAAATTTGATAAAAAATAAAATAACGTTACTTGGCTCAGTCTGCACAGGGCAATTTCATTTTATTTATTTGATAATGTTTGTGCTGCATTCTGCATAGACAAGGATTGGAACCCAGTACTTTCCAGCCTTGTAACAGATTCTGAGATGGAACTCTTAAACTACATATGATTTCACTGTTGTCCCCTAATCATATCATTCTCCCCTGAAATGTTTAGATCACATGAGCAGCTGGGTCAGTCATGAAGTGATTTATTGGGCTTCATGCAATCATTTTTTTTTTTGCACCTGGACCACCCACCTCTGGTCATGCCAAAAGCTTCCTATTGTGAGATGGACAGACGAGTGCTAGGTTCTGCTGTCTAAATTAAGGCATAACTAATTACAGAGCGCTTTGTTCTAATGTGCTCACACGAATCAGGCAAGGGAGTTAATTAATATTTACGCAGTACTCACACTTGCCACGGGAGAGAATGTTCAATTGTTTGGAACAGAGCAGGGAAAATATGAAGCTAGCCATAATAGGGGTTGCATAGTAGCAGAGATCCATATGAGGGTGGGGCAGCCCTCCCAACAACAACAACAACAAAAAGGAATTTCCAGCTGGCTAATCTAAAAAGCAAAGCTGCTTCAACATAGCTAACACCTTACAGTACCAACTGAAAAACATCCTGTAGCCTTTGTAACTTTCCCTCCACAGTAGATTTGTTTGTTGTACAAAACAGATAGATAGAAATAGCAGAGAGGCATTTAAAAAGTTAAAAGTGTTTGGTAACATAATCTGGATCTCCCTGTCAAATTCCAGGAACGTTGCAGGGAAGCTACATAATGAAAAACCAAATCTGGAAGCATTTCAAGACAAAGTCTTTGACGAGCATGAAAAACTGATGAGAAATCCAGATGGCTGAACAGCCTGATTCTAGCTTCCAGGTTCCTTCTTGTTGAACTTCCATGGAATCCCGTGGTCATGTTCCATCTTTGCGCTAAGTTTCCAATTTCTATCTGGTTTATACGAATAAGACAATGCAGTGAATTCTAACTGCAACCATGATACAAATCTAGCAAAATCCTACTGCTTTCCTTGATCAGTTGTGAAAGAAATGCAAGGCAACCTTACTCTCATCAGGGTTTGGAGCAGCGAGGATGGCACTATGCTTTCTCTTCACCTCTTCCACATTTTCTGAGATCTTCTCTATGAACCCACGGATTTCTTCCACCTGAGGGGAAAAAAAAGCCTGGTATGATTGCAGAATTTAAATTCTGGATCCTGAAGCCAGCTATAATGAAAGCTACACATCTTGGGATTGATATATTAAAAATTGACCAGTCAAATAGCAATAGCACCTAGACTTATATACCGCTTCATAGTGGTTTGCAACCCTCTTTAAATTGTTTATAGAGTTAGCATATTGCCCCCAACAATCTAGGTCCTCATTTTTACCAATGTTATTAACCAACTGCCTATTATTTGATCATAATCCCATTGTTAATTTAACCCGATTGTTCTTTCCCTCAGCTGAGATAAACTACACTGTACAGTCTTGTATATCTCTGCTGTATTGTTTTCCATCCTACTGAAAATATATTCAAAATATTTTTCATGATAAGCATTATCCATTTATATATTACTAAAATTCTAGTTTCTGTAACCTTTAATTGGGTGAAATGATGCACCATATGGCAAAACTGTTTCAACCAAAATACTGTATTGCATATGTGCTGGCTTACAGAATTCACCCAAAATCTGGGATTCATGATTCTCACAGAATTGAAATTTGGCAAATCTTACAAAACATTTTATGAAGCAATTTACGACATAATGCAAAATGTCATAAAACCTTTCCCATGGTCAACTCTTGATGTTTCATTTAACTATAAAGTTCAAAATGGGCTGTTTTCAAGGCAGATACATCTGTGAATAGCTCCCTGAATTTTTAAAAACTTTTGAAAAACATTAGAAGCTCTGCCACCATCTAAAGCAGGGGTCGCCAACCTTGGCAACTTTGAGACTTGTGGACTTCAACTCCCAGAGTTGAAGTCCACAAGCTACCTGAGGAACTCTGGGAGTTGAAGTCCACAAGTCTTAAAGTGGCCAAGATTGGAGACCCCTGATCTAAAGCACTGAGGAATTGGATAAGAAAATATTTCTGAATCAATGACTCATCAGGTCATAGGTTGTTAAGTGCTTCTAATAAAAGTGCTTAAAAATTGTTTGGTTAATTGGGTGTTTTCCAACTGTTGAGTGTCCAGTCTCATGGCCCTCCATCTTGAGAATTTGCTTTTTATCTTTATACATAAGAAATAAGATGACGTTGTTACTGGCTGTAAGCTGAGGGCATATACTGGTCCAATATCTGATTTTTTTTTTCATATAAACTTTCACATAGAAGAGCAATGTTGGTGCAAAATTAGAATGCAATATTGCAGGCTGACTCTGCCCACAGCCAGGAGTTTGATCCTGATGGGCTCAAGGTTGATTCAGACTTCAATCCTTCAGAGGTCAGTAAAATGAAGATTCAGACTGGTGTGGGCAATATGCTGACTCTGTAAACTGCTTAGAGAGGGCTGTAAAGCACTATGGAACAGTATATAAGTCAATGTGCTATTGCTAAATGTGCTTCAAAGGTTAGCTGGCTTAGACATTGGTATTTGAATATAGATCTTTTTAACATTCATGTTAAAAACTGTGTTTTTAATCTACGTGAAATATTAACATACATTGCAAGTCCATGTATGATATATTATAAATCAAATAAGAAATAAGGATTTATCACCTGTTCAAAAAACTCATCCATAAAACGATCCCGATCCACGCCAACGGCAACTTCCTCGTCATCATCGCTGTCCTTAGCCTGCAACGTAAGAAACATAATTTCAATATCTGGAATCTCAAACGGTTGCCTCAAATAATGCAAAGACCTAAATTCTGCATCATAAGAACAGAGAAGACATCAGTTGGATAGTACCTTTGATTTCCCCTAAGGACAAAGTCAGCTATGCATTGATTCCTATTCTTTCAACTCATTCATTTCTGAGTTCTTCTAGTGCTCATAAATCAACCTTTCTCCAAAGTAAGCTAAGAGCAAAAGTACTACTACATTTCTGCACTATGTGGGGATACCATCCAGCTTCTGAGTGCCTATCCCACCATGTTCTTTCTATATCTGTGCTTTGGGCTGTGTTTACTCTCTCCCGAGGCAATAACCATGAAGAGAAGGTTTTCTGTCCTGTCTCATGCACAGATGCAGATAGATAATTCCACAAAACATCCATAACAAAGTACATTTATTGGTACATCAGGTATCTTCATAACCCACATTTGTGACGAAGCTCTTCTATAATGACCAATCCTTTGTATATCAGCATTGCAGGTAAAAAATGATTATTTTCCTAACCCATTGTAGCGATAGAAAGAAACCTGTTATCAGTCCATGAGTGCAGGCAAGAATGGAGGGAAACCTCCCTTAACCCCTCGAGGGTCAATTTAGTGGCCAATCAGGATTACAGATGTGGCCACATGACATGAACTACATTTCCCAGGATACCTTTAACTACATTTCCCATGATGCATTCCCTTAAGGGGACAGCTCACAATTCCTAAGCAACTAATCAATTCCCATAGACTGGCTGGGACAGCACAGAATGTCTGAAACATGAGAAGAAGAAAATATTAGGGATAAATTTCCTTAACTTTGATCAAAATTGTACCAAGCCTAATTCAGCCAGGAGCAAGAAGTAATACAGTACATTTCTGTCATCACAGTAGCCATCTGTCCAAGTCCCATTTGGTTCAAGCAACTCTGATCTTCTGTAAGCCGGAAACTCGTATAAGGAGTAGGTGATAGTCACAGCAAGGATGTCATACTGGATCTGGAGTACCTTTTCCCTCTAAGAATCTGAATCCCACATACCTCTTGGGCACACTCAAAATTGGTGCCTCTTACTGAAATAAAGAATGCATTTCCCCCCTTACAAAATTCCGTACATAATTCTTCTTCTGAAGAACTAGAAATCATAAAAGGTCTGCTGGCACCTTTTCCCACTAATGCATTTCAACAAAAGGCATAAGCTTCTATGAGCTTACTTGACTTCATAGCTAAACTGATATAGGTTTAAACTGGGATGAAGCGGAGATGGAAAAGAGGGGAAAATAAGACAGGGTGGTTGTGTTACAAGTGAAGTTACAAGTGAAACAGATTATAAGTGGCTTATCAATTCACATTTGTAATGCGTTAAAAAAGTGTTCGTTGAAATGTTCTGAAATATCTTGAAACTTTTTGATATATGTGAATTCAGCAGTTGCCCAATTCATTGTGATATTGTTGAACAGTTTCTTTGTTCCAAAATGCCATTCTAAGATCTGTAATGAAAAATCCTGGAAGACTGAAATGTTATGATATTTTTTTTCTTGAGTCCTAATGTTAATCATGTATTTATTAATTCTTTTGTGCAAAATCCTTGACTTACAACCACAATAGAGTCCAGAACTTCGCTTTTAAGCCATTGCGGTCGTAAATCGAGGCACCACATGACTGGACTTGATTTTGTGATCATTTTTGTCATACTGGAAACCAGTAAAAACATTGCAAATTGTGACCACGCGACCATGGGACGCTGCAATTGAGCATAAATCTAAATATGAACATAAATTACAAGCTGGTTTCCAATGCTTGAAATGCAACCAGGTGACCGGGGGAGGGGCAACAGTTATAACTTTGAGGGCCAGTTGTAAGTAGCTTTTTAAAAGTCACTTCAAGGTTTACCTGTAAACATCAGATTTCATGACCAACTAGGAAAATAATGCAGCCATGAGACAAGACCTCACCGTATTGCTGTTCCTATAGTAATTAACTCTGTGTCCCCACATTTAACATCCTTGCTGAATACCCAAGCATAGGCTTTCTGGTTCAACTGCCTCAAAAGTCAAATTGTAAAACTTGCATTTTGTGTTGCTGGAGCTCCTTGGAATTTGGGGGCAAGCTGGTTTCTCAGGTTTAGGACCTCTTGCCAATCTCCCACACTCAGTTTCTAGGACCCTGCCACACCACATCTGACCAACTGCCTTAAAGCTTCAGTGTCCTCACAGGTGGGCTGTGGGGTCAGCTGACAAGTTTTTGGTTTTTTTTTTGCCTCACAGTGAACAACTGTGGTAAAACAAAGGCAGTGACAGAAATGGAGACCGTGTGGCAAGAAAGCCAACAAGCAACCTTTTTTTGGTACGTCCTAATTGGCCAAAGGGAGGGAACAACGGTCAGCACTGGCGAGCGCAGTACTCACAAATTGTATTTGGATCCAGAAAGAGGTAAAGATCCTTTGGAAGCAACATAGGAACTCTTACTTTGGCACCGTATGGACCACTGCCATCTTGGGATATGACTAGCAGCCCCCCACCTCTGTTCACAATGGCTGTGAGGGGAAGAGGTGTGGGCTGCTGTAAGACTGAACCTGAGGACTGGAGAATGAAAACGGTCTTGGCAGAGAAATGCTTTGATTTCCAGACATATGTCTCCTCCTCTGTTTAAAATGGTAATAGTCAAGAATAGCAGTTTGCCCAGAACTAAATCAGTCCCTCCTCAAAATGTGAGATTCGGGAAGCACGATTCTAAACAAAGGTTGCTTCGGGGGTGCACAGTGCAGTCAGGAACGACGCGGCGTAGGCTGCCTCTCTTCCTGGTGAGAAGGTGCTGCCATGTGCCTGAGACTCCTACAGCCCTGTGTGGCAGCACAGGAACTCGGCTGGGGCGTTTGCACTCACATCTCAAGCAATCACATTCCTTGCAGGGAAATGGCAAACCACGCGTGGGCGCATTTGCCTCAAATCTCTATAGAGTCCTCCTCCTCTGCAGCCCTCCCCTCTCTTGCTTCTTGAAGAGGGAGCATTCCAGGTCGGGGCCACATCCCATTCTGGTGGCCCCAAATCACAGCTGACAGTCGTCATGGCAACTTCTCCCTCAGAAGGAGTGGGTGCAGCTGGGAGCAGAGGGTGCCCTTCCTTGCTCTGGAACAATGCTCCAGGGTCACTACAGCATCAGTGAAAACAAGACTGGAATTTGGCACAGGGAAGAACACACTGTCCAGCTGATTATGCAGCCATGTTGCTAGTTAAGAAGAATGATCTTCTGCGGTCCAAGTAATGATTTGCATCCTTATTAAGGGTTATTTGCATTTTATACTGTTGCTTCAGTTCTTTATTAAGGATAGGAACCCAAGCATCGGTCAGTGATCATAGTAAACTGGGGTTGATTCCATAGATGCTAGCTGATTTCTACCACTAATTGAAAAATGAAAATTCTGCGTTTTGTATTAGGTTTTTTAAATTTATTTTTTGTTCCTTCCATTCTTTTAGACCAGTGCTGGCTAACCTTTTTGGATTCCTGTGCCAAAAATTGTGCACACGCTTGCATGCTCGCTCTCGTGTGCCAGCACCCAGAAGGCAATGCATCCCCCCATGTCCCCTACGCATGCACGCGCAATCCCCCCATACCTGCACTGCATCTTACAGCTGATTTTCAACCAGTTTGAGGCTTTTTCGGCCTCCCTCAGGCTTCAGGAAGGCTTCTGCAAGCCAAAAACTACACCCATTTCATCACTTCTGGCATTTTCGGAAAAACAGGAAGTGATGAAACGGACCTAGTTTTCGGCCTGAAAAGCCTGCAGAAGCCTTTCTGAAGCCTCTGGGAGGCTGAAAAAGGCCTCAAATTGGCCCAAAATCAGCTGTGAGGCGTGCACATGCGCAGTGAGGTAAGTTTGCCTGCAGCTCACGTGCTGGCACAAATGGCACTATGTGCCACCTGTGGCACACATGCCATAGGTTCGCCATCATGGTTTTAGACTATCAAGTCCCACTCGGCTTTCTGTGCTTGAAGACCTGTGGGCACATTCTAGGTCAGTGTTTCCTCAACCTCATCAACTTTAAGATGCATAGACTTTAACTCCCAGAATTTGCACCCAGCTTTTTTGCTCACGCATTCTTGGAGTTGAAGTGATGAGGTTGAGGAAATATTGATCTAGGTAGGATCTGATGAGCACAAAAGGAATGTTTACAAAAGAACATGCAAATGATGACTTCAGCAGTCCAGGAAAGTCCTCTCAAGCATTCTAAAGTCTAAACAAAGCAGGAAAAAAAGGGGCACATAATCAAGGATGAGCTTTCCCACACAAACCATCTGCTCTCCCACTCCCCAACCAAATAAATTATCCAAAGAAATGTCTATGGTGCTCTCAGAAAGCTTGGAACCAAGTGTCTCTTTCCTTCTCTATTAACTGTGTTTTCTGCAAATGTTGCCCTTGGCGTTCTCCACCAAGCCTTTCATGGTGAACCAAGTTCTGAAACCTTCCTCTGTGTGATTTAGGAACATCCCCTCCTCCAAATGACTTGGTGGGCCCCTCCGTTTGCTCAACGATCCAAACTTACGGGCTTTCTGTGCTTGAAGGTTTCTACAGTGAAAGGCAGGGTACATAAATAAATCTGACACAGTGCCACCTAGATTCTGGAGAACTTCCAAACACAAAAGGAGCAACAGCTAAGCAATCTGGCTTGGCATTAGGTATATTAGAGAGGTTTGTGGGCTTTTGTCTGTGCATCAACCAACCCTTTATCACCACCAGAGTTGGAAACCGCACCTGTGCTCAGCTCTTCTCCTCCCTACTCCCGCCCCCTCAGTTCCACCTCCTCTATTGTGCCATTTTTACCCACCATTGTTTCAGCCCCCTGGCCCTTTTTGCAAGTATCAGTTGCCAAGTCCCTCCCATCAGACACCCAGGAAACAAAGGGTAGGAAAGCTTTGTTGCCAAGAGGTATCAGCCAGGTGCCATGCCATTTCATTTTGA